TTTGTTTGTTTTTTAAGTGAGCAATTTATTGAAGGACTGACAAACCACTTCCATCTTCAGTAGCCTGCCCACCAGCAGTGTCATTGTGGAAGTGAGCCTGAGGAGGAATGTGGAGGTTGTTGAAACATTACCTTTGTTAATATGACTTGCTTTGCCCAAAGACAGGAAACAGAATTTGAAATGRGGAGCTTCTTTTTCTGCAATACAAGTCCTTGTTTGCTGCTGGACAGGATACAGGTTTTTGGGTACAGTTCTGACCTGAAAAAGCAGTTCCTATGTCTTTATCAATAATATTAATACCTTGCAGGTAAATAAGCARKATTYATGAATAAGGTGTGAGTTTTTTTCMTACATAGAAAAGTATCCAAAGTGGGAGGAGAGCTTCATGCTGAACTTCCCAAGCCTATGCAGCGGTGAACAAGCATCACAGGAAACTGGGCTTCACTAGGCAGRCTGCACACAAAATGTGCTCCAGCAGAAAATTAGCTCTCTGCAGAACAGACTAYCTCTTGGCATAAATGTGTTCAGCTCTGGTTTTGTGTGCTAGGTAATGCAGTAGTAGAACTAAATAACAAAATAGCTGTGACATGGATTACTTGAAGCAAAAGCTGTTCTTTATCAAAGGAGCTTTGATGTAGGCCTAGTAACAAGGATTTCCCTTAATAGCTGGCASTTGTCAAATACTTGTACTTGTTCAGAAAACAACTTCTGATTCTCCCAAAGCTGCCCTGTGTCAGAGCTTTTTAATCTGAATGTGTTGCTTTGAGTAAATGTGCTCAGTGGTTATCTGCAATAAGTCTTWGCACTGTGCTTAGATATGAGAAACTACCTGGTTTACAAAAAAAAAAAAAAGAGTAAGGTTTTCAGTTTCAACATTTCAAAACAAAACTATGATAAACACAGGCCATAAGACATTGTTGGAGTGTGTCTGAAAATATTTTCCTAGGTGTGCATTTTTTATTAATTTTGCTGAGTTATAAATAGGCCATGGAAGAAGCTTCAGAAGCCTTTACATGTAAATTATATTTGTCAGAATGTATATTATTTATTGCTGTTCCCTCCTCTCATTGCCTTGGGGCTGGTTTGGAGCTTTTGAATTTTAGTCTTCATCATGTACATTCTTCTTTTACAGTGTCTTATTTTTTGATATTTCATGGGAATGCAGTATCTGGATTTATACCATGGCTGTGAAAAGTTCTGTTTTTCTTTCATGGATTGGTATGATCACAGCAGATGAGAATTTTGTACAAGACAAAGCTTTCTACTTTTCTGGCTCTACCGTTACCATTCTCTTTAATCAGAAWATGATTTCTGGCTTTAATACCATAATGTCCCATCATGGTATATCCCTCATTAACTATCTTTTAAATTGTGTATCACAGGAAGCTATTGTTTTAAAATGTGCATCATATCTCTACACATTTAATGTAGAGATCAGCATGTTTAGTTTCAAAAGGGTAAGAAATAAAATACAGAGAATATCAGGTTTTAAGTGACTGCTTATGGTAGCACGTATTTTGACAGTGCTCCAGAGAACAAAGATTTTGCAGGCAACTTTACCTTTCTTACTAGACCTGACAGAAATTATAGGGATGAAAATAATCAGTGGGATTCTTGACAGTTTCTCAGATGTTATTCCAGCTTTTCTCTCTTTTTTGACCTTGAGCTAAATTCACATGAAAGATGAACAGAATCATATCTTATCCAAATGAACTAAACTTTCTGAATAGATACACATCTCTGATGCACATCATTTAGTTTATGCAGCATTTTTGGTTGATG